ATATTATATTATCTATGAGGAAAACATGTTAACATAAACCGGAACTATTGCTGCTAATTTAGTTTCCTCCGGACGTGTTTTTGCGTCGGACCTGAGAAGCTTCTTTTTACTTGCTTTTGTTCCGGTTATTTTCACTCTGAAATAAGATTGTTATTATTCATTTAATATGTTTAAKGTTTCGTGTGTCTTTTAATAAGAACAATATTAACTGTTTAACCATTWACGCGCCGAGGGGGGACGGAACTAAAGAAGTCCTCTGATGTCCGCAGGTCGGCTGCTGATGTTCCCGTCGGTCTCTGCCGGCTCGCTGGGGGCTGCGGAGCCCTTTAGCAGCTCGCTGTCAGAGATGGAGACTTTTCGGATGTTTCTGAACGAGCGGCTGGCTGCAGCGGTGGAAGATATCCTGGGTTTGTTCGGGGAAACCGTGGCCCGGTACCGGGAGCAGGTGGACTGCCAACAGAGGGAGTTGGAGAGCCTCAGGTCCAGGGAGGTCGAGTGGAACCGGGCTGCAGGTTTGACTTTACTGAGCAAWTAAAAGTGCAGAAATGGTTTATTTGCCCTTGTGTACCTGTACCAGAGCACTGCAACAGGTTTCTTKACATTTTTTGTAACACATATTGACTAAAAGTTAATTCTAATTAACCCAAACTAGTTTTTAACTTCTCTTCTACATTCTTTTTTTTTTAAAATTATTTACAATGTATTGATTTCTTAGACTGAATGTTTGTGTATTGTATAATTTTCAATTTTGCGTTCAATAAACTGAAACGTTTGGGAATCTTTTCAGCAAAACTAACAAGACAGTTTGTGTTTTACAAAAAAAAAATAGCCTAAAAGTAGAATTTATTATTAAAATGCCTCAAAWTGGGAGGTTTTACGATAAGATACCTACAGGCAACGTGTGTTTATAAACTTTCAGAGAGAGATGCAGAGTTTAAATCACATCTTTCTGTTTGTCTCCTGTCAGAGCCCCAGCAGGACTCTTCCTGGATTAAAGCGTATCCTGAACACCAGAGCCCTGACGTCCCGCCGCTTCAGACTGACTGTGTTGATAAGACGGACGTCGGCACYTTGGCTGATCAGATTAAAATAGAAGGCGGCGGTGAAGACGACGAGCCAGAAATACACAATCGCTACGACTCGACGGCTGATCCGGAGGCAGGCGGAGCTAGCCGACTTGAGGATTCGGACGCAGAGGAAAGTGACGACGGCTGGAGGGAGGCTGCAAGACTCTGGAACCCAGAGGAGACGGAGGACTCCAAACATCAGAGCACAGGCGCCGAGTTAAAGACTCCCAGTGAGCCGTCTCRGGAGGAAAGGCAACTTCCTCGTGTGTTCGGCTGCCGAGTTTGCGGCGAGTCCTTTCACAAGATGAGTGTCCTGCTCGCCCACGCCTCGGCCCACCTGGGGGACTGCGGCGTGTGCGGGAAGCGGCTGGAGCCCACGGAAAGCCTGAAGCTCCACCTGAAAGCCCACAGAGAGACGCTGTTCCGCTGCAGCRTCTGCGGGCAGACGTTCACGCTGCGCGGCAACCTCGGCATCCACATGAGGATCCACTCGGGCGAGCGGCCGTTCAGCTGCACCGTCTGCGGCAAGAGCTTCGGCCGGCGGGCCACGCTGGTGCGGCACGTGCGCAGCCACACGGGCGAGAAGCCGTTCGCCTGCGTGTACTGCGGCCACAGCTTCACGGAGAAGGGCAACCTGACGGTCCACCTGCGGACGCACACGGGCGAGAGGCCGTACAGCTGCTCGCTCTGCGGCCGCAGGTTCAGCCAGCTGTCCAGCTTCTACAAACACCCGTGTCAGAAGAACGGCCTGATGTGCGTCCCCATCAGTGGCACCTGACCGCTGCTGCGTGACGGCCGCTTCAGCAAAACAAACACACTGTCTCGGTCCTGATGAGACGTTATATATTTWGAGCTCCCAGCGTAGGAGTTGTTTGGCTTTTGGAATACTTCTTGATTTTGTTTTCCTCAAAGGACATCCAGCTATTTCTCTGACAAATGGCAGCATTTTCCTTGATGGCTCAAAATACTTAAAACAAACACTAAAGTTTGTGTTTCTACATTTTTTTTATAACCTTGCCTTTTTAATG